TCGGACATATTGTCAGGAGGGACCAGTCGCTGGAGAAGGATACCATGTTTGGTAAGGTGGAGGGTCAGAGAAAAAGCAGAACACTGCCAGCAAGATGGATTGGCGGAGTAGCTGGACAGTGAGTAAGGAAGACTGTAGAAGAATTGATGCTTTTGAGTTATGGTGTTGGAGGAGAACAATGAAAGTGCCATGGGCTGCCAAAAGAACCAACAGATCTGTGTTGGAATAAGTGCAGCCATAGTGCTCCTTGGAGGCCAAGATGGCCAAACTTTGTGTCTCATACTTCTGACATATTGTTACGAGGGACCAGTCACTGGAGGATATCATGTTTGGTAAGGTGGAGGGTCAGAGGAAAAGGAAGACCCCCCCAGTGAGATGGATTGGCCAAGTGTCAACAGTTGTGAGGTTGGCTCAGGATTGGGCAGTGTTTCATTCTGTTGTGCATAGAGTTGCTATCAGTTGGTACTGACTCGATGTCACCTAACAACAACAACATTGAATTTGAAAAAGATTTCATTGGCGATTCCCTGATACTCTTCATTCTTGTCGATCTTTTGGAAGAGGTCGTCTAAAGATAAGAATATGTGATTTTGGCTCAGAATCATGTGATGCATGCAGCCTAGACTTTGGTGAATGCCTAGTCTCCTACCCTCCTTTTCAGCCATTAGATGGGCTTTGTTTTGCCTTACTGTTGGGAAAGCTCTCTGGCTGCCATGACATGTGGGTACTCACAGTGCTCATCCAAGTATTTTTCCAAGTAGTATACCTACTTGTGGACAAACTGCTGGTGGCGCGGTGGGACAGGTAAGTCAGGAATGCAAAGAAGAGAGCAGCAAAGCAAACATCCGTGCCAGGACGCTGTACTGACACAACTCTTTTGGGGTTTTTAATACAGATTCAAAAGTTTCTTCTAGGTTTTAGGGTCAACCTTGTAAGCTCTGTTATATTTTCCTAGCTGTCTCTGGTAGCGTAGTGGTTACGAATCGGGCTGCGAACCTTAAGGTCAGTGGTTCGAAACTACCAGCCACTCCGCGGGAGAAAGATGAGGCTTTCTACTCCTGTAAAGATTTACACCCTCGGAAACCCTGTACAGGGTCGCTATGGGTCGAAACCGACTCAACGGCAATTAACAGCAACAAACAACAAACATTGCTCTAGAAGTTTAAGAGATTGAATACCTTCTGTACCAATCCTTGGCATGGGTTGGAAAGTCCTTTCCAAAATGAGTGTACATTATCAATTTGTTTGTCATTTGTCTCATGAAAATACAGAATAGGAAAGCTGTAGCTATGTCTGTTAGGTAAAGTAAAGCACAACTGAAATCTTTTGTGGTTTAATTTTTTGTTATTCAAATTTTAAACATTTTATTAAACCTGTATCTTCAGTGGGAATGTGCTCTCCCTAGAAAAAAATTTATTATATTGGAGGGCCCAGAGAGAAGCGCTATAATTCATTTTCTTGTTGTTTTTAGTTGTTTTGTGTGTGTATATGGTGGAAATATACAAAACAAAACATACACCAGCTCAGTAATCTCTAGGTGTATTAAGTCAGTGACATTGATTACATTCTTGAAGTTGTGTAACCATTCTAGATAGCCTTTCCCAAATTATTTCACCACCATTAACATAAACTCACTTCCCTGCTAAGCAAAAACTCTCCCTTCCCTCCCTCCCACCCCTGATAACCACTAAATTTTAGTTCTATGTATTTGCTTATTTCATATAAATGAGATCCCACAGTGTTTGTCCTTTTGTGACTTATTTTGCTCAGCAAAATTTTCAAAACTTTGACCTTGAGGGTGATGCCCAGGAAAAAATCAGTGATCTCAGACTCCCTGATGGTCGTGAGGGAGAAGAGCAAGATCTCCTCCAGGGACTTGATCTTCATTCCCTTCACCAGGTAGCCCAAATTGGTGTTGGGGAGCCACTCCTTGATCTTGTTCTTGCTTCTTACCACCTGTCCCCACCTCTACTACAGCTTAGATCCTGATTCACTGGCCTCCCATTGCAGTGCCCGGGTGTCTGGGCCCACCTACCCCCCATCACTCCCTTCCCCCAGTCCCCCTTCTCCCCTTCCCTCCAGCACCAATGTCTTCCACCATTTGGTGCTTCCTTGGAGAAGGAGGTCATGGAGGTTTGTTTAGCTTTATAATGTGAATTGAATGAAGGTTTACAGAGCAGATCACTAGTTTTATGTTCAACAACTCCATATGCTTTGTTTCACTGTGAGGTCACTGTGATTTTGATTGCATCAGCAGCAATTGTGAGAATGGTGCAGTCTCTTCTGACATCCATTTCGGTCTTTTCTTTCTTTCTTGTCTTCTTTATCACCTTTTCAATTCTTCCTGTCTGATGATCTTGATGTCATCCCACAACTGGTCTTTGGTCATAAGTGTATAATGTATCAAATCTGTTCTCCAGATGATCTCTAAATTAAAGTGGGATGTGTTCAAGGTCATATTATGACTCCCATGGAGTTGTTTTAATTTTCTTGGGCTTCAGCATAAAATTGAATATGAGCAATTGATAGAGTGCTCCATAGTCTGCCCTGACCTTGTTTTGGCTGATGATATGGAGCTTTTCCACTGTCTCTTTCCACAAATGTAGTCAATTTGATTTCTGTGTATTTCATCTAGTGAGGTCCCTGTGCATAGTTGTCTTTTATGGTGTTTAAAAAAAAAAGATAATTGATTTGCAATGAAGAAGTCATTGGGTCTTGCAAAATTCTTTCATGTGATCTCCAGCATCATTTCTGTCACCAAGGTCATATTTTCCAACTATTCATCCTTCCTCCTTGTTTACAACTTTTGCATTCCAGTTGCTAGTAATTATCTGTAAACCTTGATGGCATGTTTGATCAATTTTGGACTGAAGAAGTTAGTAGAATTCTTCAATTTTTCATAGTCACTGACTTTAGTAGTTCGGTGCATAAGTTTGAATAATAATGGTCTTCCTTGTCGGCGTATGGATATTATCCTTTCACAGACAGCATTGTACTTCAAGATAGATCCTGAAATGTTCTTTTTGATGATAAATGTAACACCATTTCACTACAATTCATCAATTCCCAGCACAGTAAATCAGATAATTGTCAGATTCAAAATAGCCAACACCAGTCCATTTCATCTTACTAGTGCCTAGAATATCAATCTTAATGCGTTCCATTTCATTTTTTACAACTTCCAATTTTCCTAGATTCATGCGTCATACGTTCCATGGTCTGATTATTAATAAATATTTACAGCTGTATCTCCTCATCTAAAGTTGTGTTTCATCAGCAGTGAGGTCTTGAAATGTTAACTCCATTCATGTTATCACAGTCAGCTCTACTTTGTGGAGGCAACTCTTCGAGCCTGCAGGGATCATCTTCCAACACTATATCTGACAGCGTTCCATTGCTGTTCATAAGGTTTTCAGTGGTTAAACACTCAGAAGGAGTCTGCTGCTCCTTTTGTTCTAGTCTGTCTTAGTCTGGAAATTCTGCTGAAACCTGTCCACGATGGGTGACCCTGCTGGTACTTAAGATATCGGTGGCATAGCTTCCAGCATCACAGCAACATGAAACCCACTACAGTACAAAAATTGACAGATAAGTGGTGGCTTAACACAATAGTCCTTCCTAAACTTTGAAAATCACCTAGACGTTTAATTCCTAGACCCCAGTGGTTCAATATGTCTTTTTTAATGAGTCAGCTTTTACTCTAAGTGATTCTGATTCTGGTCTATTGCTGCCATTACAAAGTATTATACATTTAGTAGCTTATAACAATACCTTTAATTTGAGTTTGATTACAAATGAATTTCTATTAAATTAAATTTTATCACATTTTGCCTGACTTCTTTAAACCATGCTTAGGATTATTCATGAATCTCTCCTACCCCTGCCCAGCTATTACCCCTGGTTAATTGAGTGGATCATAGCTTCTCTCTTACTGTATTAGTTTTCTATTGATGCTTAACAAATCATCACCAACTTAACACTTAAAAAAACACAAACATTCTTTTACAGTTGGCAGTCTCAGGAGTTTGGCATGTTGTAAATGCATTCAGGTTTCATAAAGCTAAAATGTGATAAAATTTAAGGGTCTCCTGGCTGTGCCTGCATCTGGAAACCTGTCTAGGAGATCTGCTTCCAAGTTTCTTCACTGTTACTGGCAGAATTAATTTTGTTGTAACCCTATAGCTTAGGTTCCTGTTTTCTTGCTTGCATAGGCTGACCAATTTCAGCCCCTAGAGGGCGCTCTCAGGTCCTTGCATGTGTTCCTCTCCGCATCATGGCCAGGAGAAATCTGTAAGGCTTCACCTTCCGTTAAAGGCTCACCTGATTACTCAGGCCCACCCAAGATAATATCTGTTTTGATTAACTAAATTGATTAGTAACCACGTTCTGGCCTCAGTAGAAATGAATTATACAAAATGTGTACTCCAAAGGGCATGAATCTTGAGGGACCATCTCACAATTCCACCTACCTCGCTTACCATGGATTGTTTTCTTAGGAAATAGGATTCTCAAAGATGGGATTAGAAGGCTTGAGTATTTTTTTGATGCTTGATATACATTGCCAAATTATTTTTCCACAGGGCTGCCTTATTTATTAGTGTGTATGTGAGTGGGAGCTTATGAATACACTTGCTTAATTTCTTGGCATTTCAGGTTTACTACCTATTTCTAGAAGTGGACACTGCCATCAGCCAAGCAAGTGTGTTGAAGTTAAAAATTGTCCTCCAACTTGCCATTCATTCCTTCTGTAGTTTGGTGAGGTGTGTAAGTTAACCACTTTGCCTTCCTCAGTGAACCCTTGTATAATTTGCCTTTTCCAGGAAATATATGTAATATGTATAATGACTTGCTCTGAACATTCTCAGTCAAATATTTGTCTTATCGCTTAATTTGATTGATATTTGCATCTGAATTTAGGTTTAGCAAGTATAACTATATTCTTTCCAAAGATTCTACTGGTCTTATAACTCCTTATTTTGCTTGCACATTTTTTATTCCAGGAATACTTTATTTCTCCATCAGTAGACATACAGGAACAGGTTTATCGTGTTCAAAAGCTCCACCATATTCTAGAAATACTAGTCAGTTGCATGCTTTTCATTAAACCCCAACATGAGCTCCTCTTCTCTTTAACACAGTAAGTATCTCATGTTGTTTATTTACATAGAAAATATATTCTGTTTTGATACAGTTGCAGCCAAAATGTGTATGGTTTTTTACTTGTTGGGCTAGAACCTGTGCACCTGCTTTTCACAATAGTGGAGAGATTCAAAGTCAGTGTCACAGGAAGGAACAACTTTGAATTCAGAAAGATTTTAATTTAACCCTTCACCCTGTCATTTCCCAGCTTCCTTTTTAGCAAGTTCTCACTCACTGAATCCTGTTTCCTCATCTGTAAAAAGGATCTAATGTGTGGTGAGGAATAAATAGTATGTGTAAAGTACCTGACCCTTCATATGTACTTAATAAATATTAGTTCTCTTATCCTTTCTTAGCATCACTATAAGTCTGAGCCCACCTAATCATTGTCAGCCATCTCTATGAATGGAATTGAATCTTATTTACCAGATCTCTGTTGGCAGCATAGCTGTAATATGAGAGCCTTCTGATGAGTTGGCTGAGAACAGTTTAAAATAATCTTTGTCTCTGGACTGCTGATGTCTTATGTGTATCCAGGCCTCAAACTGGAATCAGTAAACTGTCTAGCAGAAGGACGGGTTTGTTTTTTCCCTAATGGAGGAAATGTACCACTGCTTTCCCCCCCACAAATTAGAATGTACCTCCATTGTAAAAGAAAATTTAAAATTGTAATTGCTTACATAATTGAAAAACTTACTTTTTTCATTAGAGATTGGTAGTAGTAAATGAGTTACTCTTTTTACTGTGAAAAAGCTGTGTCTTTGTCTCTCTTTAGATACTTTCTGTTTTTCCCTTTCTCCCCACTTAAGCCTTTGAGTTCAATTTAAATATACTTTGTATTTATGAAAAATACATTTACTACTTTTTTAAGTAGATGAGAAAAAAAACATAAACTAAGTTTTGTGAGTTTTATTTTTTAACTTTTGTGGTCCTGAAATAATATTGATGTTGTTAGTGGTGCTCAATAAAATGTTTTCTTATGAGCTTTAGAATACTTTGAGAGTCTTACTCTCTAAATGACACCTTTTTCCAAAAGAGGTTTAATTTTTTTTTTTTTAGGTCTTGTGTAAAACATTATAAACAAAATCCTCTTAATGAGAAACACATTTTTCAGCTGCCGGTCAGACCAATTGCTATGAAAAATTTGTATCAAAGGTAAGCAATTTAATAATGAAATAATACTTTATGTCTAACCATGTTCTGGGCAGTCTTGGGGTCTGGGTTGCCTGGGAACCTTGTGAGGCAGAGCTGCTTCTCTGAAACCTTAGTCGTCTGCATCCAGCTGTCTGACCGCAATCAAGTATGATTCCCTCTCTTCCAGCTCCTAGACCTTTGTTTACCCTCTTTTAGGCTCTTGGGCCTCTAGTCTTTTATTTCTCTCTCAATATGGAATTTCTTCTAACTGAATAGCTAGCCAGAAGAGAAAGGACAAATGAGGGGAGAAATGATCAGGGTGGTGACTGCAAGGTCAAGAGTGTGGCCTTGGGAGTGAGTGAAGAGACTGAGGCTGGGATGGTGGGTCAGTCATCCACATAGACATGAGCTTGCTGCTGCTGATAGTCTCCCCTGACTCTTCCCTCAGCATAAAATGAAACTTGAAATTTCTCTCATATGAAAAGTCACTGTATTTCTATCCTGCATCGTCCCCTCTTAGCCAAATTCTAAAACTGCTCTGGTAAAGGTTACCCATGGACTTCTAATTGCCAAATCCAGTGGACGCTTCAGTTCCTTTCTCAACTTGTAGTATTTAGCACCGTTGCCTTTTTGAGTCTCAGTTTCCTTCCTTAGTTTTTGACATACCATTGTGTCTTAATTCGATATTTGAGTTTTCCCAAGAGTTTTCACTGCCTGTTGTCCTCTTTTCTTCTTACTTTCTAGCCTCACCAAGTGGTGCATTTATACTCTGGGCTTCAGTGCCTCTTTGCTGATGAAGATTCAAAACCCATCTCTGCAGCTTCTCTTGTCTTCAGACCACTGTTTCTAATGTGAATCCTGCAGACAGTTCCAACTAAAACCAAATTTCTCAACTTCTTTCAGATGCTGTTTTCCCTCCTATAGTTCCTCAAGTGACCGTTGTTAAGTATCCACCTAATGCCTAACACAGACTCCTAGGACTTATCCTCCATCTCTGTGGTCCATCACTCCTTCCTTTAAATCCTTACCCAAGCCCTAACCTTCCTGGCAGCTTTTGAATCTGTTGTCTTCTCTGTATCTTCACATTGTCATTGCTTTACTTTACATCTGCATAATTTCATACCTGTTGTTTTAAGTGCCATCTAGTTGGTTCTAACCTATGGTAACTCTGTATAGGGTTTCCGAGGAGCTGCTGGTGACCTTGAACCGCCAAACTTGCAGTTCAAATGGCATTGTAGTCTGGCGCATTAACCCACAATGCCACACCAGGACTCCATTTCATACCTGGACTCTGTAAAATCCATTTTCCTAACTGCGCTAGCCCTCCATTACCTTCCTTCTCTAGATCAAATGCCAAAGTGATCTTAAAATTCAAATCCCACCATGACATAAGTCTGTTGAAAAGCCCTGAGTGGCTCTTGTTACTTTTAGGACCGTATTCTGGTGCCTTAGCTTGGTCTGTGAGGCCTTCTGACTGGACTCTGCTGCCCATGAGCCACCGTGTCATCCCTTTCCCCTTCTGTATTCCTGCATTTTCTCTCTCTCATCCCTCCTTCAGTGCCCACATTCATGTGACTCCTTCATCCTGAGCTACCTGTCCCCACTGTGTTTGCTTATCTAACTCTTCCACCTCCTCCTTTCCTGCTCAGCTCAAATGCTGCCATCTTGGAGGAGGTTTTCTAAGAACTGCAGAACCCAATCTTAGTTAGAAATTACTCTTTTGTTGCCCTGTAATGCATCTTATATTTCCTGTTGTAGCTTTTTTTTTTGGTTTTCTCATTGAAATGCTATTGGTATTTTTATTCTCTCCCTCTTGTGATTGTGCATCTTGAGAAGGGTGGGAATTATGACCTGTTTATCTTTTCTTTAACTTTTTTCTTCTCCTCCCTCTTTCTTTTCCTTCCCCCCCTCTTTCCTTCTTCTTTTTCTGCTGTGCTTATCACTAAATGGGTATAGGAGGAAGGAAGGAAATAACTATTTCTCTGTTATTCCAATTGATGTTTTTTCTTAGTGAGAAGCCACAAAAATGGAGCGTGGAAATAAACAGTGGTCAAAAGAAAGTTAAAACGGTTTGGCAACTGAGTGATTGCCCACCTGTAGACCATCTGAATTTTCACAAACATGGTAATGATGGTTTGTAATCTATTCAGAGAAATTGTTCCCATGGAAAATGCACTATATTGTAGTGGTAGAGATCCTTATTATGGCTACTACATGATAGAAAATCCCCCAGGTCATACTCAGCTTTAAATTGTTTTTCCTGAACTCTAGGTGGTGGTGTTGTTAAGTGTAGCACATATGTATTCTGAGTTGTATAAAAGTTTAATGCCCAGAAAAATTTAGTGTGTAATAATCATAAAATGAATGTTTTTTCTCATTGTTTTGGATAGAGGAACTTCTGTTGAAATAAGTCAAGATGATAGAGACAGAGTAAATATAGGTTAAAGATGAACTGCCAGCCAGCTCATACTCAGTGCTCTTGTACAGTGTACACCATCGCTATGGTGATATTTCTGCCTACCATCTTCTCTGTGATTAAAGAAATGTTGAGATTTCTGTAACTCTGTTACAGATAGTTAGCTGGCCCACCAAGTCCTCCTCTTGTTGTTGTTAGGTGCCATTGAGTTGGCTCCAACTCATAGCAACCCTGAGCACAAAATACTGCCTGGTCCTTTACCATCCTTAGATTTGAGCCAACTGTTGAAGCCACTGTATTATTCTCTTTTAGTACACACCTATAAAATGTATCTTTATGCATATGTATTGGACTGTACTATTGGCTCTTAGTTACAGAGGCCTTAATGGTTATATTCAAATATTGCAAAGATCATTTAAAAATTAATTTGATCCTTTTCAGACATAATCTAAGAAGATTTCCATGGCCTGTGATCAGTGCTGCTAGGAATATGTTATTGTTAAGTGCTGTCAAGTTGGTTCCGACTTATAGCAACCATGTTTAGGATCTCCAGGGAGTGGCTGGTGGATTTGAACCACTAACTTTGCAGTTTAAACCAGTCTTGTGGTTCAGTGTTTATCCTACAGCACCACACCAGTACTGGGAATATAGTTTTATTTTACTTATTGATACATTAAGAAATTATTGCCAGAAAATGTTTATTTCCCCCAGAATATATTTTGATTTGAACATAATGGAAACTTCTCTCAATTAGAGGCTCTATTCATATGGCTGAACTGCAATAACCCTAAAGAAACTGAAGGAATTTTCCTGAGAGCTCTGCCTTTTCCAAGTATGATGTAAAACCTAGAAGGTACAAAAGATTGAAAAGTGGCTTTACAAAAGCAGAAAAATTTCTGCATGACAAAAGCAACAGAAAAATAATAAACTAAGAAAAGAATGTGCAGTGTATGTTCTGAAATGGGCTTCCTTTCCCTAGTATATAAAGAACTTTTAATCAGTAAGAAAAATATTAATAACTCTGAGAAATGGACAAGTAAATGAACCAGTTTACCAGTAAGGAAATTCAAAAGGCATCTTAAAAGTAAAAGATACTGAACTCCACTTATAAGAGAAATGCACATTTATGTTATACAAATAACATCAGATTAACCTGTCAGCTTATCACAAATCAAAAACTTGGTGTTACATTGCTGGGAAAGACCTGGGATGCTCAGTCATCTCCGATTGCTGATTGGCGTCTAAAGTGAAACCGCTTCTTTGGAGGGCTGTATTCAGCACAATTTAAAAGGAAAACATTCTTTGGCCCAGCAGTTCCATTGATACTGATTTACTATATCCAGACATGTGCAAAATGACCTACAAACATGGTTATTACAATATTTTTTATAGTAGCAAAAAACTGGAAAAAAATTTGAGACCTGGGCATAGAAAAAGTTCTGAAAGGTACACAGTTAAACTGAACCCTGAGAAGTAGGATGAATAAGGTAGGGCTGGTTCTTAACCTTAGTTAAACATTGGAATCATCTGCATATCCTAATGCCCAGACTAAGTAAACAAAATCTCTGGAGGCAAGGAACCTGGACATCAATCATTTTAAAGTTTCTTGAGTGAGCATGATGTGTTACTAAAGTTGAAAACCATTCACTTATAAACATTTATTTTATCTACAGCTGTTGTTTCTTTTAGAAAAGATGTGTTACTTTTATGTAAAAAGAAAGTTTTAAAGACTGAATATGTGTGATACATCTTTGAAAGCTGTCAATTAAAAAAAATTCTAAAATTTGATTCTATAAAGATTAAGAGTATGATGAGGAAATTATGCAAGATGAATCACCTTTTTCCAGGGATGCTGAGTAAACTAGTAGTAACTGAGCATATCTTTTAGAATTGTTTTGATGCAGGCTACTTCAGTAAAATCGAGTCATGGTGTGGCGCAGTTGGTTAATGCGCCAGACTGCAAAGTCGTTTAAACTGCAAGGTCGGTAGCTCAAGCTCACCAGCTACTCCTTGGAAACCCTATACAGGGTCGCTATGTGTCAGAATCAACTCGATGGCAGTTCACAACAACAACAACTTCAATAAAGAGTGAACGTTATTTTGTTGTTATTGTTGTTAAGTGTCATTGAGTTGATTCCAACTCATAGGGGCCCTGTATAGGGTTTCTGAGGAGTGGTTGGTGAACTTGAACCACTGACCTTGTGGTTCAAATCAACCTTGCGGTCCAAACCAACCTATTGGCCCAGTGCATTGTCCCATAGCACCACACCAGGACTCCGAATTATTTTTAGAGTTAGAATGTTGTTGTTATGTGCTGTGGAGTTAATTAGCATAGCATAAATAAACAATTTGATAAAGCATTGATCCAATGACATCTTTGATGAAAGTAAGAATTTTTATGAAATTGTATGTTTATGTGCTTGGAAATGCGCTTAAACTCCATTTTGGCTTGAACTTTATAACCTTTTCTACTGATTACATAGTCTTGATGTGTTATCTGGAAATTATTCAATGACCTTTGGCCTAAAGCAAGATTCACTCTTAAAAGTCCAGTAATGATTTATTTTTGTCAATGATCACATACATTTAAGAACTTAGACTTTAATTTCACTTAGATAAAATTCTAGCTTTTCACAGTTTCTAGTTGTATGACACTCTTGGGTAAAACAGTTAATATCTAAAGCTGAAAGACAAGAAAGAAAAGTGCACTTTCAACTGCCATAGGAAGAGAGACTAATGATTTGGAGTTAATGGGGGAGAAAAACAGTATCCAGTAGAGTGCTGCTCACCCAGTGGGTGCCCAGGAAATGATTGTTGATAACGGTGAAAATATGGAAACCAAAATGTTGACCCACAAGGAAGTGCACGTAATCCCATCTAAATGTTAATTGGACCATTTGGTTTTGAAATATAACAGTCACTGTTTGTAATTTTAAAAAAATGGCTATGTGTCTAGTCCTAAGACTAAATCCTGAGTAAAAATTCTTTTCTGAAATTTATGAAAAGAAAAAGGTGTGCTTTTCCTAGCACTCGTTGTGTCACAGAAGAGTAGAGAAGTAGGTTCTCAAATTTGAAATCAATCATTTAAAAAAATGTTCTTTATATTTTAGTTGGTTTAGTCCTATTTTAAATTTATCAAGAAGGTTTGGTATTTAAAATAATTCTCTTGTTGAGTTTTGTATAAGTGTTCTCATAAAGTAGAATACACATCATTTAGATTACCTATTGATTATCGTAGTTGTTCAAAACTTGGCATCATACATGATAGAAAAGCCTGAAAGTGTTGCTCAATTCTGATCAGTCTATTTTTCTGTTTATAGATTTTTCTGAATTAACACTAAATGGTAGCCTGGAAGAAAAAACCTATTTTACTAACATGGTTACCTGTAGTCAGGTGCACTTCAGATAAAGTATACTGATGGAGTCTTCTAGAAGGTATTGTGTTCACTTTTTGTTCTCTCCAAATACTTTGTACTATATTAAGTACCTGTGCTTTAATTCTTCCTGTAAAATAAATGCTGACTTAATACATTAAGAATATTTATTGTTTATCAGTAGTCATGTAAGAAGTTTACCAGATGTGATTAAGCAGTGCAAGTCTTTAATTTTCTATCTTTCGCAGTCAACTTAATAGGTCAGGATAATCCTAAAGTCAGAGAAATGAAAAAAATGTTTTAGGTGGTAATGTCTTTCTACTGTAGATCTCTAGCTACAATAGAAAGAGAGTTTGATTTTATAAAAACATTGATGGAAAGAAAACCTTGATCAGGTTTATTGATTTGACATTGAAAGAGAAGTTTTATTAAAAACAATTTTACCCCAGCCCAATCATATAGGACTAAGCCTCAGATGAAAATACCCTTTAAAAATGTTTCAATTTGAAATATTAACCAAAAGAATTAATGGACTAGCATTTACTATTATCTTACATATTGAATTAACTACAGAGAAGTTATATTGTTAAGTGCTGTCGAGTTAGTTCTGACTCACAGCAACCCTATATAGGGTTTTCGAGGAGCAGCTGGTGGGTTTGAACAGTCGACCTTGAGGCTCAAACTGACCTTGCGGTCTAGTGCATTATCCTGCAGTGCCACATAGTCATAAAATATTTGAGGTATTTCACTGAGTAAACTGAGTTGAATGTAGTGCAAGAAAAATTTATCTTAGAACCATGTATATGCTCATTTATTTGGTATCCACCCAGTGCTTCTCCCTGGTTGTTATTGTTAAATGTCATCGAGTGGTTCCAATGCGTAGCAACCCAGAATAGGGTTTCTGAGGCTGTTTATCTTTGTGGGAGCAGACAGCTTCATCTCTTCCCTTAGGAGTGACTGGTGGGCTCAGACTCCCTGGTTAGATAATAGGATTTACAACCTAAAAGACTTGTTATCTGTAGATGATTGACTCTATCTGTCATTGACTTGGGAATCCTGGTGTGCCGCTGTGGGTTAATGCGCTGGATTGCAAAGTGGCTTTGAACTGCAAAGTCTGTGGTTCAAGCTCACCAGTCACTCCTCAGAAACTCTATACAGGGTCATTATGGGTTGGAACCAATTCAGTGGCACCTAACAGCAACAACAACATCATGGAGTTTTGGTATGGGGTTAGTAGGATCAGCACTGGACTTCAAACCAGTCAGCTGTTCAAACCCACCAGCTGCTCCTAGGAAACCCTGTATAGGGTTGCTATGAGTTGGAGCGAACTCAGTGGCACTTAAAACAAAAACAGCAATCATGGATTGTAGAATCCCTGTTGGTACAGTGGCTACACACTCTACTGCTAACTGAAAGCTTGGTGGTTTGAACCTACCAGCCACTCCACAGGAGAAAGATGATGTGGCAGTCTGTTTCAGCCTTGGAAACCCTATGAGGAAGTTTTACTCTGTTCTGTAGGGTTGCTAGGAGTCCTGGCGTGGTGCTGCAGGATAATCTACTGGACTGCAAGGTCAATTTGAGTTGTAAGGTCTGTGGTTCAAATCCACCAGTTGCTTTTCAGAACCCTATACAGGGTCGCTATGACTTGGAACTGACTGACCAGCAGGGTTTTTTTGTTCTTGTTTTTTATATCTATGTAGTACAATGCTGAGATAGCAGTCACTTGGAACTTAAAGTATTTTTGGACAGATGTTAAAAATGAAAAAACTCCAGTCACAAAACAGTTTTACACTATGATCTAATTTTTATAAAATGAAAATGTTGTTGTTGTTAAGTGCCATTGATTCGGTTCTGACCCGTAGTGACCCTGTATAGGGTTTCCAAGGAGCAGCTGGTGAGCTTGAACTGTCAGCCTTGCAATTCAAATGCCTTTGCAGTCTGGCACATTAACCCACAGCGCCACACCAGGACTCCAAAATGAAAATAGGTACAGCAAAATAAATATAAACATTGATTTTGGGAGGGATGATATTACAAGTGATTTTTATTTTATGTATGCTAATTTTTATTTTCTAATTAAGTTGCAGCACAAGCTGCCCCTGCAAAAGGGTGGCTGTTATTTTGAAAGCAGAAATGTATGTAAACCTAAGCAGAAAAATTAAAGATCCTGAAGATTCTCTGAAGCTACAAAATTGGCCATCCTGTCTCAACTCTGTCTCCGAAGCAGGAACATCAGTAGAACCGAAGTGATTAGTATGCAGAGGGTGACGACCGTGGTTACCACCGTCTCCGTAACCATCTGCATGTGACTTAACAGTGGCTCTGAAATGGTAAACGGAACATTTTATCAAATATGACTTCATCCTACAAGCTTGAACCATATTGGAAAAGCGTGAAAAATGGCATCATCAAATTTTCTAGTTATGCTTATTTGCTATAAAAGAGAACCTGATGAATTAAATATTGTTGTTGTTGTTTTTTAAAATAATGTGAGGGCATTGTAAAGCATCTCAGACAGCATAGGGAGAGGACGGCCTGGCCTGGACTGTCCCGCAGTCCTGCAGTCCACTGAGTGGGTACCATTGCTCTGTCAGACGTGAGTCAGACAGATTCACAGCCACGTGCTGTTGCTCCTATAATTGTCTGTCTGTTTTGTTTTATAGTAATATAAAGGGGCTTCAAAAATTCCATAGAAAAATGCATTATTTTTCAATTAAATTTTTCCACAAAGTTTTGGAAGCCCCCTTGCACTGTATTTTCAGTGAAAGCTTATACAGCAATCAGGTTCCATTTGACAATTTTTATACAAATTGTTCGATGAAATTAGTTACATTTTTTCACATGTCAACATTCTTCCTTAATTGTATTCTGGTTGTTCCATCTCTGGTGTTTTCATTTCCCTGCCTCCCTTATTTTCTTAAAATTTTCATTGAGAGACTTTTGTGAAAGAAAAATCCCTAGGAAAAATTTCTGGCTTTCAAATATGTTGTTGTTTATCTTCAGAGGAATAGGAATTTTTCATTTTTCTGTTGAAATTTTTATGGCAGTTTTTTTTTTTTTTTT